GCTACAGGGGCCAGGATCTGAGTGGGGGTCTCCCAAGCTGGCTCCCAATGATAGACCAGCTAGTTAAGACACCGAGGAGGCTCAGAGGTGGCACGCAGGACTGACGCATGGTCACACAGTGGGAGCATGATGAGGACAGCAGGCTGTGACGAAAACTGGAATCTCATGTCACATTATTCTGGGTCTGAGTCCTGGTTCTGCTGTGTGGCTCTGGGCAAAGACCTTACCCACTCTGAGCTTCCACGTTCTCCCTGAAACAGGGATCCACCATGTTCCTTCCTACAAGGGTCAGGGTGAGGACTGTTGATATCATTAGCTGCCATCAAGTCAGTTCCAGCTCGTGGTGATGCCATGTGTGCCGATAGAACTGCTCCAGAAGGTTCTCAGGCTGTGACCTTTCCGAAGCAGATGGTCAAGTGTGACTCATGAGGTGCCACTGGGTGGACTTCAACCGGCAACCTTTTGACTAATAGCCAAGTGCCTAACCACTCGGACCACCCAGGGGCTCCTGGTGAGGGCTGGACTTGGTGTGTAGAGTGCACACAGCCAAGCACAGAGGAGAGCTCACAGGCAAGAGTGATGGAGCACAATGCTTACGGGCTACTGAAGGTCTGTGAAGAGTGATGGAAAAATCCAGGGATGGGGAGGGCAGACAACATGATGAACATATTTAAGGTCACTGAACTGCACCTAAGGACCCTGGTGGCACAATGGCTGCTACCCGAGATGTTAGCAGTTCAAACCCATCAGCGGCTTCCTGGAAAAAGAGCTGGAGATCTGCTCCCTTAAAGATGACAGCCTAGCAAACCCTCTGAGGCAGTTGACTCTGTCACACGGGGTCACGGTGAGTCAGAACAGACTCGACAAAACCCAACAACATTTATAGCTGGAGAAACTCACACCAGGAGGTTAGGTAACACTCAGTAAGGACTCCAACACAAGCGTTGGGGACCCAAAGTTCACCCCCTTGTCTGCTGAGCTAACAGTACCCCCTTCAGTGGGCAGTCATGAACCATCATGCGTGCAAAGACCTTGAAACAGAACCTGACGCATAGAAAGCGCCTGACAAATATTAGTCATGATTATTATTATGCACTCACGCATTCAGAAGGCATTTACCGAGTGCATCTTCTGTGTCACGCTCTGTTCTGAAACAGGCTATACAGCCGTGCATGAGACAGATTTCTGTCTTTGTGGGACTTCATACTGATGTCACCTTTGCTGTAGTGATTATATTCACCACCATGATCACCACTGTGGTCATCTTCCTCACCAGCCTCCTCCTCACTACCATCCTCATCACCACCATGCTCATCACTGTTACCACCACCATCATCATCATCATCCTCACCATCATCATCACCATCATCCTCATCACTGTTACCACCATCACCATCATCATCATCCTTACTACCATCATCATCACCACCATCCTCATCACTGTTACCACCATCATCATCATCATCATCCTCACCATCATCATCACCACCATGCTCATCACTGTTACCACCATCACCATCATCATCATCCTCACTGCTATCATCATCACCACCATCCTCATCACTGTTACCACCATCATCATCATCCTCAATACCATCATCATCACCACCATCCTCATCACTGTTACCACCATCATCATCATCATCATCATCCTCACTACTATAATCACCACCACCATCCTCATCACTGTTACCACCATCATCATCATCCTCACTACCATCCTCATCACTGTTACCACCATCATCATCATCCTCACTACCATCATCATCATCATCATCCTCACTACCATCATCATCACCACCATCCTCATCACTGTTACCACCACCATCATCATCATCATCCTCACCATCATCATCACCACCATGCTCATCACTGTTACCACCATCATCATCATCATCCTCCTCACTACCATCATCATCACAACCATCCTTATCACTGTTACCACCATCATCATCCTCCTCCTCCTCACTACCATCCTCATCACCACCATGCTCATCACTGTTACCACCATCATCATCATCATCATCATCCTCACCATCATCATCACCATCATCCTCATCACTGTTACCACCATCATCATCATCATCATCCTTACTACCATCATCATCACCACCATCCTCATCACTGTTACCACCATCATCATCATCATCATCCTCACTACCATCATCATCACCACCATCCTCATCACTCTTACCACCATCATCATCATCATCATCCTCACCATCATCATCACCATCATCCTCATCACTGTTACCACCATCATCATCATCATCACTACCATCATCATCACCACCATCCTCATCACTGTTACCACCATCATCATCATCATCATCATCCTCACTACTATAATCACCACCACCATCCTCATCACTGTTACCACCATCATCATCATCCTCACTACCATCCTCATCACTGTTACCACCATCATCATCATCCTCACTACCATCATCACCACCACCATCCTCATCACCATTACCACCATCATAACCATCCTCACCATCACCATCCTCCTCCTCACTACCATAATCACTATCCTCACCATCATTATTACCACTATGCTCATTATCATAATCATGGTATCATCCTCCCCATCACCATCATCATCCTCCCCATAATCACCACCATCCTCATTATCACAATATCATCACCATCCTCCTCAGCAGCATCAGCACCACCATCATTATCATGATATCATCATCACCATCACCACCATACACACCATTCCTCACCCTATCATCCTCCTCATCACCACAGTCCTCATTACCATAATTACCATCATCATCATCAACATCTTTACCATCACATCACGACTAACATCATCATCATCACCGGGTATAGCACTTGTGGTATTCTAAATCAAGATCCATCGTGTGGTCCTCTCTCTCCAGAGTTGTTGTTGTTGTTGTTGTTAGGTGCCCTCCAAGTTGGTGCTGACTCACAGTGACCCTCTGCACAACAGAACTAAACCCTGCCCGGTCCTGCACCAACCTCTCAATTGTTACTTTGCTTGAGCCCATTGCTGCTGCCACTGTGCCAATCCATCTCACAGGAGGTCTTCTTTCTGATGACCCTCCACTTTACCAGGCGTGATGTCTTCTCTAGGGTGTGGTCCTTCCTGATAATGTGTCCAAAGTATGGAAGATGAAGTCAGGCTATTGGAGCTTCCAAGGAGCACTCTAGCTATACTTCTTCCAACAGATTGATTTGTTCTACTAGCAGTCCCTGGGACTTTTTTGTTTGTTTGTTTGTTTTATGTCTTTTTTTTTCTCCTTAAAAATTTTATTGTGAATTATGTGATAGTTTACATGGGAGAACATTAGTTTTACATTCATTCTATCGTATATCGTCTCATTGCCATGGTTACAATCCCCTCCATGCAATCCTTCCCCCATGCCCCCCAGGTCTTCAGCACACAGTCGCTCTCCCTCTCTGGATCTAAAGTCTCCAGCTGCTCCATTGCCCCCCCGCCCGTCATCATCTCTGCCTCCATTTCAGGCATCACTGCTTCTCTGGGTAGGGTCCTGCTCTCTGCTCTTCTCCCTTGATGGTCCCAGGGACTTCCGCTCCTAGACTGAAAAGTGAATCACTCCCCTCCTTGCTATAAAACGTCTACCTTTACATTTCCGACCCTCACAATCAGTCCTGATAACAATTATTCACTATTGTATCACAAGAGACCCATCTGCATTTCATTGCATCAGCCCCGCCTAGTCAGATTGAATACTACTCACTGGGGATTCTACCTTCCTCCAGGCCCTCTGGATCTAGGTTCCCTCTTGAAAGCTTGTAAGCCAGTCACTTCTTGTCTTTGTAGCCCCCCACCCCCTATTTTGGGTAGTCAATGCCCAAGTTGCCCATCCCTGTCTACTCTGTGTGTGGAGGGGGTGGGAATGATTCTTGCTGTAAGGACTTGTTCCCTCTTTTGAGCTACTGCTTCCATAGGTGTAGGTCAAGTTCATCAAATTCCATGGGACTTTTAATGTCATCCTCCAACACCATAACTCAAATGCATCAGTCCTTCCATGATCTTCCTTATTCATTATGCAACTTTCATATGCACATGAGTTCTCCTAACTCTCCCCATAGCCATCATTTATCCTTTTTTATTTATATTTACTTGACAGAGATGGAATTCCATTTCCTGTGGTCTGTGATTTCAACTAGTGCCCCCCCATTTTCTAGTGCATATGAATCCCCTTGGAATTTTGTTAATTAGATCAAACAAAATGTGTATAAATGGCCTAATGTATCTAAAACTGATGATCTGCTCTGTAAACCTTTACCCAACTCACCATAAAAAGTTTAAAAGAAAAAAAAAAAGCAGGTTTTAGTTCAGTGTGTCTGGGGTGGGCTCAAGATTTTGTATTGTTTTTTTCTATTTTCCCTTCACCCAAGTTAACATATGTCTACTCTTCCATCACTGACCCACTCTCCCCTCCCCTACCACTCCTGATAACTATCCAAGAATATATTTTCAATTTGCAAAAACCTTTTCTTTTTGGTACTTTATACAATAGTGGTCTTGTACAATATTTGTCCTTTGTGACTGACTTATTCCACTCAGCATAATGACCTCCAGGTTCATCCGTGTTATATGAGGCGTTTCCCAGAGTCATCATTCTTCTTTAATGTTGTATGTTTGATGTATGTTTGATGTATGTTTGATGTATGTTTGATGTATGTTTGATTCCCTTGAGTGTATTACTAACGTTTGCTTATCCACTCTTCTATTGATGGACATTTGGGCTGTCTGTATTGTCTTGCTCTTGGGAACAGTGCTCCCATGAACAAGTGTGTGCACATAGATCTATTTCGATGTGCACACAGCTCTGATTTCTCTAGGATGTAAACCAAGTAGAGGGCTTGCTGGGGCATATAGTTTTTCTATTTTCAACTTTTTGAGGATGCACCATTCACATATTTTTATTTGTTTTTTGTTTAGGTTTTTTTTTTGGTTCTTAGTGGCAAGAATGGCATGTTGGTATCATGCCCACCACAGCCTAGAACCATACATCTCCCCTCAGAGGTCTCTCCTCCTCCTCCTGGGTGGTAGTGGTTGGTGAGGAAGTGCTGGGGGCAACCTCTGCCAGTCTCTTCACAGCCTCACCCAGCTGCCCCAGACCTCGGGTGGCCTCCACCAGCTGTGTCAGCCCCAGCACCAGGGTCTGGCGCTCTTGCTGGTCCCGTTCCAGGGCCTGGGCCAGCCTCTGCAGCTGGACACCCACATCCCTCACAGCGGTCACCAGCTCCACCAGAGCCGGTGGCTCACATGCCATGACCTTTACAGGGGGTGTTGGGGCTACACATGGGCCAAGGGGGTCTGGGCTGTGGCCAGGGGTGGGTCCTAGGGGAGGATGGTCAGGGGGAGGTTGATCCAAGGGGTGGGCCATGGAGAAGAGGTGAGCGTCAGGACTCATGGTGGGGTCTGGGGCTGACAGTGGGGTGTATGTGGGTGGAGGGGTTAGCTTAGGGCTCTGGCTTCTGGGTGGTTTGAAGTCCCCAGTGGACACTGAGTCTATGCTTGGGGCCGCAGAAGGCCTGAAGGAGCTGGATTCGGAGACTAGAGAAGGCTCTGGGCTCTGCATCTTGGTTGTGGAGGGGTGAAGGGTCCCCAGAGAGGTCAGCTTGGGGAACTGGCTGACCTTGACCATCAGGGCTGGAGTGGTAGAGGGAAGCTCGGTCCCCAAGGAGATTGGAAGGGACTTAGTGGTCATCATGGGGGTTGTGGGAGAGTCAGAAGTTGTGGTGTGAGGAGGGGGTGTAGTGGAGCCAGTGGTGGTGGTGGAGTGAGGGGTTGTGGAGGGGTCTGGGGATCCAGAAGGTTCTGGAGTAGTATCAGTGTGTGAAGTGGTGTCCAAGTCTGGGGTTGTGTAGGATTCTGGGGTAGGCGCTGAGGTCTGGGAATGGCTGGTCACCTCAGCAGGTGCGGACGGGTCAGAGGTCAGCTCTTTGGGCAAGGTGGCTGGGGGGGTGGGTGAGAGCTCCGGGGTCAGGTCTGAATCCACAGTGGAGTCAGGAGCTGTCGAGGAGGGGTCAGGGTTCATCCAGGAGGCCAGGTCAGTGGTTGGTGGCCAAGTGTCAGGAGAGTGGGAAGTAACCTCCCGCCTTGAAGGTGATGGCTCAGAGGTCACCTGTGGGGTGAAGTGAGGGGTCAGCGGTGGGCCCGGCGAGGCGGGGGGAGCTGGGGAAGGGGTTGGGGGCGCCGTCCTGGCCGCAGTAGGTCGCAGTCGGTGCTCGGGAGACTGTTTCTTTGCGGAACCTGCAGGAGGAGAAGACACGAAATGTCACAGGTCAGCCCGCCCCGCCCACCTGCGCTCCAAGGAGCCGAGCCGCCCCGACGGACCGACCAATGAAAAGGCGCAGGGGCTCATGACGTCACGGGTCGCCGGAAGACTTCACGCGGCCCTAGTGCCCCCACCTCCCGACCTCCTGGTCTATCTCCCGGCGCCACCTGGCGTCCTTGTGGAGTGCGGTGGGCAGTGCTTGGGGGCAATGAGGGTCCATCTCCACTGGGTTAAGAGTTGGGTCATTACTGAGCAGCGTAGAGTCCAGCTCTCCATCCTTGGCCCTTCGCCCCAACCACACCTCTCACCTGTGTTCCCACGGAACCTTGGAGTCAGAAAGCGGTAGCCTGGGCTCCTAGTGATGCCAGTGCTGAGAGTGAGTCCAGGGAGGCCTGCAGGGGGGGTCCCCTTGGCCAGGTCCCCTCTGGAAGGTGTGTCCCACGTCCAGGAAAATTCATAATAATCCTTGTCACCTTGAGAGAGACGGCGTTCATATGAGGGCTGAATCTTCAACTGCTGGAGTTTCACCCCTCTACTCCCATTGGGCCCCCCCCCCCAGCTAAGGCTTCCTTCTCTCTCAGCGGCCCCTCATCCCACCCACCTGGCAGGTGTGAAACCCTTGTCTACCAGCAACGGCCTGGTGTTGGTGGTTATGTGCCATGGAGTCGGTTCTGACCCATAGCGACCCTGCACAGGGTTACTGAGGCTGTAAATCTTTAGGGAACAGAAAGCCTCATCTTTCTCCCATGGAACTGCTGGTAGTTTCAAACTGCTGACCTTGAGGTTAGCAGCCCTACTCGGATCCACTATGAGACCAGAGCTCCTTGAAGCAAGCTTAAAAATGAGAACATCTACTACTTCAAATTTCTCAAGTACCCACACCTGGTGTGGCACTGTGGGTTAATGCGCTGGACTGCAAAGTTGGTTTGAACGCAAGGTCGGTGGTTCAAGCTCACCAGCCACTCCTTGGAAACACTGTACAGGGTCGCTGTGGGTTGGAACCAACTCGATGGCACTTAACAACAACGTACAGAGACAGAGAGAGAGCGCTCTGGCAACATAGTAATTATGAGTTGGATTACTAAACTCAAGGTCAGCAGTTCTACGGAAGAACACTGAGGCTTTCTGCTCCCATAAAGATTTACTGCTTCATAATCCCTATATAGGGGTCACAATGAGTTAGAACCAACTCCACGGCACATAACCAACCAACTATACATATATAGGAGGCACCCACATGGCTCAATCTTTAACCAAACAATGTTGTTGTTAAGTGCTATGGAGTCTGTTCTGACTCACAGTGACCCTGTGTAGGGTTGCCAAGGAGCAGATGGTGAGCTTGAGCCACCAACCTTATGATTAGCGGTTCAGTGCTTAGCCTACAGCGCCACCCCAGGACTCCATAACCAAACAGCAGACAGACCTACAAGGTGAACACGAATACTAGGGAGGTACTCAGTCCTGAGAACTAGCAACCACTCAAGAGCCAAAGGGCAGCATTTGTCCAACTCTGAAAGCCATGAAGGATGGGAGAGAAGACTGACCGGAGCTGGCAAGTGCAGGGAGGAAGGGGGATGAAAGCTTTTACATTGTGGAGACTTCAGCCAGTGTTGCTGAATAAAATGTGTATTCGTTTTTTAATGGAAAATCAGTGTGCTCAGTAAAAGTGCACTCAAATCACAATTAAAAAAAAAATTTTAAATACACTTGTATGTATAATGGATATCATTGTGTATTTTTTTAAATGGATCGTTTTATATTATAACTTCCAGTTAAGGCAAACTAGGTGGTGGACTCCTAAAACACCAGCCACCGTAAGTGCTGTAGAGCACTCTTCTACTCTGACACGTATCTGGGAGGCATGAGTCAGAGTGGACCCCCAGACCCACAATGCAAAGTTCTCAGCCCCTTGACTTGGCTTCTGTGAGAATGCCCTCCCTCCCCAAGTCAGCCAGTGGACATAAAGCGTCCCTAGATTGTTGCTGTTGAGTTGCTTCCAACACATGGCATCCTGTGCACAACAGAACGAAACACTGCCCAGTCCTGCCATAGCCCCCCAATCATTGCTATGCCTGAGCACATTGTGGCAGCCACTGAGTGCCTCCGTCTCACTGAGGGTCTTCCTCATTTCCGCTGACCTACCAAGCAGTAGACTTTCTCCAGGAAGTGATCCCTCCCAATAACACATCCAAAGTACATGAGACGAAACCTTACTTCCGGCTGCACTTCTTCCAACATGGATTCATTCATTCTTTTGGCACTTTGTGGTATATTTCGGAGTCCTGGGATGGTGGTGTAGGATAAGTACTGGACCGCAGAGTCCGTTTGAACCACGAGGTCGGCAGTTCAAACCCACCAGCAGCTCCTTGGAAACCCTATACAGGGTTGCTAAGAGTCGGAACCAACTCAATGACACTTAACACCAACATGGTGTATTATTTAGTATTCTTTATCAACACCATAATTCAAAGACATCAATTCTTTGTTGTTGTTGTTTTTTCATTGACCAGTTTTCTCACGAGTATGAGGTAATACCACAGGTTGGGTCAAGTGCACCTTAGTCGTCAAAGTAACATTTTGCTGAGTGGTGCAGTAGTTAAGCACTCCGCTGTTAACCAAAAGGTTTAAACTTTCCAGCCACTCGATAGGAGAAAGATAAGGCAGCCTGCTTCTGTAAAGACTGTTGTTTTAAGGGCCATTGAATTGGTTCTGAGTCATAGCAACACTGTATAGGGTTGCGGTCCAGTGGTTTATTCTACAGCGCCCCACCAGGACTCTGTGAAAATTGTTGTTGTTGTTAAGTGCCATCGAGTCGGTTTTGATGTCCTATGGGGACAGTCCTATGTCCTAGAGGACACTCACTGTGAGTCAGAACTGGTTCCACCGTATTCCTAGACTGCACTACAAGAAATACTCACTGCTTTCCCTGGGGTCCTGAAACCTGTTTATCGTTTTCGGTAAATAACTTCAACAACCACTTTAACAATTTGTGGTTTTAAACAATTTCACACACATTTTACTCATTGAGACCTGGAATCACCCAGCTAGTTCTAATCTCTGTGGAATCAAAATTGGACTCCACCGAGTCTGGCTCCCAAATACCCGCTTACAACTGTTTCAACATATACAGATGTCCCTCGGTATCCGCAGTGTGGGGTGTGGCAGGAGGATTGGTTCCAGGACCTCTTACCTCTCCTCCTATCCCTAACCCCTAACCCCTACCATACCCAAGTCCTCAGATGCTTAGGCCCTTTATATTAAATGGTGGCAAATTTGCAGATAACCTATGCTCGACCTCCCGTGTAATTTAAAGCCTCCCTAGATTACTTATGCCACCTCAACCCAACCTCAGTGCCACCGAGTCTATTCTGACTCAGAGTCACCCTGTACAGGGTTTCAGAGGCTGGAAATACTTACAGGAAAAGACAGGCTTATTAGTCTCCCAAGGAGCAGCGGGTGGGCTTGAACTCCCAACCTTGCAGTTAGCAGTCCAGTGTTGGCCCTTTGTGGTTGTTAAGTGCCGGCGAGGAGAGTCAGTTCCAATTCATAGTAACCCTGTATCCGGTTTCCCAGGAGCAGCTGGTGAGTTTGAACCACCAACCTGGTGGTGCAGAGACCTTGCAGTCCATTGCTTATCCTACAGCGCCACCTGGGGGACGCTTTGGGGCAGCTTCATTCTGTCCTACAGGGTCGCTGTGAATCAGAATTAACTGGAAGGGAATAGGTACCAGGTGCAGGTGGGGTTGGGGTGGGAAGCCTGAGTCTTTGTTTAGGAAGCAACTTGTGGGGTGGGAAGCCTGAGTCTTTGTTTAGGAAGCTAGTTGTGGGAAATTTGGCAGTGATTATTGGTGATTGATTGTTGCACAACATGATGAATATTCACTGATATCACTAAATTATACATGTGAAAAACGTTGAGTTGGACAATGCTGTGTTACACAAAGCTCGACAGCAATTTAAAGAACACACAGGTGTTAATAATTGAGGTTCAAGGCTCGTTTCCTAACGAGAATCTGAATTCATGTCTCTCTGTTCTTCTACTCCTCAACTACTCCCCACCTGGGGCATTTTCCTCCAAGTCTTTCTAATACTATAGTTGCATGTGCGGCTTTCCTTAGATTTTTCTTGCACAGCTTGTAGTTTTACATTATTTGAGCTCCGTTACTGCCTTCTCCCCCACTGGGAGGGGGCTTGCACGGAATAGGAACCAGGGATCTTCATCATAGTGCTATGACCACCTCTGCCACCAGGGGGCGCTATGGGATAGGGAGGCAGCGCTGATTGCAAAATACCAATGGAATCCTGGCTGTTTGCAGCCAGAAGATTTTGAATAAGCAGCATCATCTCTGGGCGTTACAGCTTCCGGTTCTGGAAACCGGGTTGATTGTTGTTGATTAGTGTTGTCGCGTGTTTTCGACTCTTAGCGACCTTGTGTAGAGTTTCTGAGGAGCGGCTGGTGGATTTGAACCATCCACCTTGCAGTTCAAACGACCGTATGGCCTTGTTGTTGTTAGGTGCCATTGAGTTGGTACCGACTCATAGCAACTGTATACACAACAGAAGGAAACACTGCCCCGTCCTGCGCTAACCTCACAATCCTTGCTATATTTGAACCTATTGCTTCTGTAACAGTGCCAATCCATCTCGCTGAGTGTCGGTGTCTTCCTCTTTTCTCCGACCCTCCACTTTACCAAACATGATGTTCTTTTCCAAGGACTGGTCCCTCTTGATAATATGTCCAAAATATGGGAGACAAAGTCTGGCCACTCTGGCTTCCAAGGAACATTCTGGTAGTACTTCTTCCAACACAGATTGTTTGTTCTTTTAACAGTCCGTGGTACTTTTAATAGTCTCCTCCAACACCGTCACCAAATGCATCAATTCTTCTATGGTTTTCTTTATTCACTGTTCAACTTTCCCATGCATATGAGGTTATTGAAAATATCATGGCTTAGGTCAGGTGCACCTTAGTCCTCAAACTGACATCTTTGATCTTGAACATTTTAAAGAGCTCTTGTGCAGTAGATTTGCCTAATGTGATGTCATTTGATTTATTGACTGCTGCTTCCATGAGTATTGATGGTGGATATGAGCAAAATGAAGTCTTTGACAACTTCAATCTTTTCTCATTGATTTGTTGTTGTTGTTTAGTGCTGTCGAGTCGGTTCCGACCCATAGCGACCCTGACCAGGGTTTCCGAGGCTGTAAATCTTTACGAGAGCAGAAAGCCTCAGTTTCTCCCGCAGAGAAGCTGGTAGTTTCGAAATGCTGACCTTGCGGTTCACAGCACGATTCGTAACCACTACGCTACCAGAGCTCCTTTCTCCACTGATATGGATGTTGTTTATTGGTCTAGTGGTGAGGATTTTTGTTTTCTTTCCATTTATCCAGACCAAAGGCTGTTGTCTTTGATCTTCATCAGTATTTTAAGTTCTCTTTGCTGTCAGCAAGCAAGGTTGTATCATCTGCATATCGCAGGTTGTTAATGAGTCTTCCTCCAATTCTGATGTCATGTTTTTCTTCATAGAACCCAGCTTCTCAAATTATTTGCTCAGCATACAGGTTGAATAAGTATGGTAAAAGAATACAACCCTGGCACACACCTTTTCTAATTTTAAACCATTCGATGATTCCTTGTTCTGTTCAAACAACTGCCTCTTGGTCTATTTACATGTTCCTCATGAGCACAATTAAGTGTTCCGGAATACTCATTCTCCACAATGTTGTCTATAGCTTGTCATGATCCACACAACGGAAAGCCTTTGCATAGTCAATAAAGTACAGGTAAACATCTTTCTGATATTCTCTGCTTTCAGACAAGATCCAACGGACATCAGCAATGATATCCCTCATTCCACGTCTTATCCTACAGCGCCACCAATGAGTCCTAACTCAAGGCTTGAATTCGGCCCCCAATACATAGAAATTTCGTGCCTCCCCGAGGGTCTGCTCTTTCCTCCCCCTCCTTCATTGCAAGACAGGGTCCTGCAATGACAAGAAGCCAATGCACCTGGCTCAGCTTTTATAGTGGGCAAGCGGCCAGCTGGCCAATCAGAGACGCAATCAATACGTGTGATGCAAATTAACACGTGCCCCTCCCACTCCTCCGTTCTCAGTCCCGCCCTTCTCAGTGACGTGCATGCGCCACCGCAGCACTTAATAGAGAAAAAGGCGCGGAAAAGACGTTTACAGTAGGAAGTGAAGCAGCCCGTGAGCCAAAGAGGTGAGACTAGAGGAAGTGAGGCAATGAGATGTGAAAGCCCACCAAAAAGAGAGGAAAGGAAACAGAGAAGTAAAACTGAGAGGTAGTGAGTGACAAAGACAGAGAAAGAAAAATGGTAGCAGAAACCAACGTAGAGAAAAAAGCTGGTTAGACACAGTGAGGGGGAGAAAAGATGGCAAGAGAAATTGACTTCAGAAGAAAATAGATAATATGAATGAGAAGCGGTGGGAAAAAGGGGTAAAAAAAGATCAAGAAACACTGAGAAACAGAGATGGTGAGAAAGTGAAATTGATAGTGAAGGAAATCTGAGAAAGATGGTGAGAAAAACAAGACGGTACGAATCGGGCTGCGAACCTTAAGGTCAACGGTTCGAAACTACCAGC